TTCAAGAAATGGACATCATCAGTATATATATATATATATATTCAAAGTGACATAGAAAATGAGAAAACGAAGAAGTGAACACCAGTAAATTTATGCAAAAACTGCTTTCCATTGATGCAAAAACAACAAACTGATTGATGTGTGTAAACAAATCATATCTATTTTTGTATGCACACATATGAATATAGTCAGGATCCAGGGTGGGGGTTAATTTCAGATCGTTCTTGTATACCGTATAAATCGCAACTGCCCTACTGTGACCATTTCTTGAAATAAGTGAAACGACAGAATCACACATAGATTAATTATATATTATATTGAACATCAGCTATCAGTGGAACGGAACACTACACTTCTTAAAGGTAATTGGATTCATTTATTTATTTATTTGTGAGTTTGTAAAGGGTGTGTTCTGTCCTGAAATCGGCTCAGATCATATTTAATTTTAGTCACCGAATTGACACACTGTTCCAGTGAGTAAATTTTCCCGAGTGTGGTCCATTGTGGTCCACCAGGCATAGAGTGAGGTTAGGAAACCACTGATAACACTGACTGATGGTTGCGCTATAATCCAAAATTGGCGGAATTCGGAATTCATGGAGTTTCGGTGGCTGAATGATATACGAGCTTGCCTTGTAACCGGGGGGGGGGCTTGTTGGGGAATCCCAAACTGGGTCTAAACGGTTATCCAGTGCTTTCTTGTTCTCACTATGGTTCTCTAACTGTAAGGAATCCGTGATCAAAATTTAGTTTTCTCAAGTGTTCGCTTTACAAGTACTGAGCTGAGATTAGTTGGAGAATTACTGATTACTGTGGAGTATTGGACAGTTATTTCATCTTAGTTTGATACATTTTGCTAGTATGCTTCCATATCCTTAAGGAGTAATTACTCCTGGGTCTTCGGGCTGCTTGGACAGACTACTGACGTTCAGTGAATTCAACTGACTTCTGATCCAGCAATACTTAGCGGAATGAAACTGCCTGGACTGTTAGTGAGAGGTCGTGATCAGTTGGCCTGCCGTGTTGGGTGTGAGACTTACAGTGGTGTTATATACTGCGAACTGGCAGAAGATAGAATTCATGTGCTTTTGGAAGCCGCATCAGTATCAGGGTCTCCTCATAACCTGAAGGTTTTGGAATAGAACCACTGTCAAGTTTTCTATGATTTTCAATAAATCTGCAATAGGTTACAGAATTAATCACGTGCTAACATCATTTAGAAAACTATTGGAATAGCTGGGAGTACTAGACAGCTGTTTCTTCCAGGTTTGGGACTCTCCTGCAGTACGCGCCTACCACGGTTCTAACGCAGGACCTTCCGGTTACGAGGTGAGCTCGTATACTACTAAGGTACTGGGACTCATTCCAACGGTTTATGAATTCCAGCTTTTGCAAGTAACTGTCCTGATACCTGACTTGTTGTACCCAACTGCTAACGACTTCTCATTGGAACCCTAGGTAACTTCCTGTATGGGGCCAGTCACTAGTAAACATCAGATTAACAATCGAATTCGGTCAAGAGACTGACAAAGATCTACCTTGTTCTTTCACTATCAAAATGATTTGTGTGGTAATTACTCATGTTAAACAGCTGTGTTTACTAAACATATCAAAAAGATCTAAACCGAGGATGTTTGTTTATTCCTGGTTGGAGTTAAGCCCCTCAGCAATGTACCCTGTTTGTGACTAGCCGCTTTGAGGGTCTGACGGCATATACGACTAAATTTGCAAATTACACCATGTGAGATGGAAATTTGACATAGGTTTTCTTTCAAAACTGGCTGAAGAAGCGACCAGCAAACACAGGACTCCAGATGAACATTGGGAGGATGGAGGTGATGTACATAGGCAGGCAACAGCAACAACAACCAGCGCCAATCACCATTAACAGAAGAAAGTCGACAGAGGTTAGTTACTTCACCTGTCTAGGAAGCAAGGTTTCAGTGATGGGTGGAACGGATGAAAATGTCAAAGCCAGCCAGAATGGGAAAGGCGGGACACGCCTTCATCATTCTTAAATCAGTTTGGAAATCTTCAGTATTCAGCGTACATAAAGAATAAGATTCGGATTCTGTTCAACACAAATGTTAAGTCTGTCGGCCAGTTCTTCTATACGGGTCAGACTTTTTTACTGCGTGTCACACAAACGATCTCCAACCAGTTACAAAGTTTCATCAATAGCTGTCTTTGCTAGCTTTATATTGAAGATCATATGACCAGCCGGACGGCAGAAAGAAATAGCAACAAGAAAATGTGAGAGCGAATCAAGCATAAGCTGGGTGCTCAGCAAATATGTAGTAGAAAATGGGGATGGGTAGAGTACACGCTGAGAGGTCCAGTGTATGAAGCAACGGGTGGTTCGTCCTTGAGTGACATGGAGGAGGTCGTGGAAGCCGGAGGAGATGATAGATTATGGTCAACCGCACACCCAGCTGAAGAAAGCAGCGGCAAATAGAAGAAAGTGGAGATGTGTTGTTGAAGCCCCAGGTTGTTCCACTAGGAACCCAGGGAATAATAATAACAATTTCTTTCAAAAAAAGAAAGAACATATATCGAATCACAAATATACGATTTTGTTTAAGTTCTTTTCAAAAAGAATGAGTAAAATCTTTCTGTTTTTGAAGCCATAAATGTTATACACAAATAAACATCAATCAAACTGTTTACTGTCATAAGTAGTTAATTGCAGTGTCAGAAAAATATCTCAAGTATTGCCTGGCTTCTCAGCTTCCTAGTGAACGTCATTTAAAACTGCGAATCTTTGTTATTATTCATTATCTGAAAAATGTTTACTCAACAGAATTATTCTTTTTTATTTCAACTTATCAATTGAGAGGATGAGGGATATATTCACAATCACTTATACGCCTTAAAAAGTTGATTTTTCACACACGGATGTGATTCCTACTCATAAATTTGTAGCGAAATATGTTTTCATTCATTGAAGATGCCCATCGGAAAAATTGAAAGAGTGAACTATGGATAAACAATGGATATTCTTTTCGATAAATTCGCCATCAGCCTCAACACTTATATGACAGTAATAATGAAAGAATGATTGCTTTTAATATTAATAATTTGGTTTTAAATTACACTTAGTCCGTAATATCCACAGATAAGGGAAGTTACACAAGATTTTTGGATTTGTGGACGTGGTAGCAGGCGGCGTCAGCAGTAGTGACTGTCTGGACTTGTTCCCTCCACAAGTCAAGCTTCAGTTGATTTAGGCAAACCTCAATGGCTTCTGTGTCTGTGGAGCCAGTTATATTTGCCTTATGCTCTATGAACCTAATTTTTCGTGCTCTGAACTACCTGCCATTTTAGTTGAATAAAGGTATTGATACAAACGTCAACAGTTTTATTTTGGACCAAATCGTTCAATCAGGTCATAAAGCTAACTATGAAGAAGCTTTCTCTTCCCTCTGTTTGGTGTCAAATAAATTAACAAATGACTCTGGATAACGAAGATTTCAAACAGTAAAGGCCATCCCAGGTTGCTCTGTATACAAAAGAATTATGTCCAGCCACTATTGATAGCCTAACTTGCTGCCAAAACTACTGATTTATAAATTCTTTGTTACTTCCCTTAACGTGTCTGACATTCAATAAATCTATTTTCAATAGTTGGTTTGTAAGGATTAGTTTCGGTTTTACGAGATGATCACGGATCCATATCAGTTAGTGAACCATTGAAAACCAGGGACAGCTGCTTCGTCCATTCTGGGCATCATCGGCAGTACTCACCTACTACAGCTGTTCAAACACAAAACCTTTCGGTTGCAAGCTAAGCTCATATACCATTCAGCCACTGACACCCGATTCAATGGCTAGCCCATAAATTTAGCGCGATCATCAATCAAGGTCATCGGTTGGACATTCATCCTCACTCCTGGCTGGATGGAGCTCAATGGTCACGACTGCTCACTAGAATTCCAGGAAACTCCGTCCTGTAGCAGGTCACTAACGAGCATCAGAATAATTTTCAACAGTTGATTTGTAAAGATTAGATCTGTTTTTGCAAGTCCGGTACACCTTGGTTTTCAATGGTTCTCTAAATGATATCAATCCGTCATCAATTCGTAGAAACAAATCAATTGGTTGTTGCATGGCAGTGCGTATTATCTTTTGTTGATGCTTTATTGAAATGTACTCTATCAATACTATTGATTCATTGTAATTTAAAGCATTAAGATTGTTTACATAAATGTAGAACGTGATGGCGAATTTATTGCAAATAATATTCTCTGTTCATTTATCAGTTAAATGTTTGTTTCTTCGGTTTAACTGTCAGGTTATTTACTTCAATGTAACATGTCAAAGGCTTAGAACTCTGAGAAGATAAGTACGAAAGAACTCCAGCAACGAACCCAGTAACAACCTATCTCCTAAAAAGTATGCTTTAGGCAATTGGATTTGACTGCATATACGCTGGGGCGACCATTAAGCGCCATCAAACATCAAGTAGAGCCTCGAGTGGAATTCGAAATGGGAAACACTCGTACAGTCAGGGTTCGAGGTTGACATGAAAGGGGTCTTGTGAACAGGAAGTGAAAACGCTTAAAGAAAGTCATGGAGGTAAATAAAAAGGAGTGTTGAGGACAGAGTGAAATGTAGATGAACTGATGAAGACCTGAATTCCATTCGGAATCGCTTAAAACAAAAGTGCCAACAAAATCTCGTGAAGTAGAACAGCAGTGAGCTGTTATCAAAATGTGTTATCTGTCTTGGTGACAGATGAAGGTATGATCATCTTGTAAAAGCCTTCAATCCAATCGAATGAATAGAACCTGCACTTAGAAAAATACCTTAAAAGTCTTCATTTATGATAAATATGTGGTTTAATATGGGTCCTAATTGAGGCATTCATATACAAATAACTTAAATGCTTTGTCAAACCATTGACAGACACAGAAAAATGATTGTATATTTCGAGCAAAATCAGTTAAGCTGTTTCTCAGTTTATCACAGATGTTAAATGACACAAACAAGCATCTGTCCCTCTAATTTGTTCGTCGTAACCATTCAGCAAGAAGTAGGGTAAATAAAATTAAATAGAAATTGGCGTTATGATATAAACGTTCACTACTAATGTTCTAAATTGATCATTTAAAATAAATTTGGATGAGTCCACATGTTTATCTACAAAAGTATTAACAAGTTGGTTTAGCGAAACCCTATTCTCCCTACTGAAAGCTTTCAGTACCTCTCAAAGTGTAACAAAGCAGTCTTTCTTAAGTAGTGTAGGAAAGATTAAAGTGGGGTGGGAGTAATAAAGAAGAACAGGTGGAATGCAAGAAATGGCGAATTCTAAAAGTGAAGACTAAATGATACCAGATCGTTTCAACGTCAAAATGTAGAACGTGAAATGAAAAATCTTTACAGAAGCTGAAATGATATGGGAGGACCAGGAATGATTAGAAGAAATTAACAGTCCAAGGTATTTAACAATTCACTTTACTTTCCACCTAAGTGTGATCTACGATAGTAGAGTTATACGAAAGAGCCAGTTCGTGTTAGTGGCATTTGCGTCTGAAATTTAAATCCACAATCCAACATTTGGAGTTATTAGCCTCAAGACCACTTTACAATTATCACTGACTGATTTCTAATAAAACGTTATTATTACATGAAATATATCTCATCCTGTACAGACATCTCTTCAGTAATGAATAAAAGTAGTTTATACAGAGCGTTTGCAGTGGAGGAATCATAATTTGTATGTTAATGAGAAATATACTGGGTAAGAAACATGAGAAGCATTGGTCAAATGTACTGAGAGAAACCACACAGACAACAAATAGGGGCAAACAATGCATGTTCAGGACATAAATTTCCCAATCATTGTATCAAGTGGAATCCAAATTGTCCGAATAGGAATAATTGACTAAAACAAGGGCTCCGTTCCCCATGAAATGATAAAATTGACACGAATATGATTAGCAATTTCATTGTGTAAACGCATGGTGCTTTCATAATTCCACACACTTATCAAATCCAACAGTCTACACCTGGTTTTGTTATCTTAACAGAGCTGAAGATAGACGATTAAATTACTGCATATGAGTTGAGATTTTGTAGATCATGGTTTAATAAAAATTTGACAAAGCTGTTAGCAGCCTTAGATAGCGAAACGTGAGTGAAAACAACAATATCGTTTTGTTTTTCATTCATTCACTGGGAAATACAAAACTTTTATAATCTAATGAACATCACCCATACCTAATGCCCAAATGTTATCAAACTGTTAAAAGTGAACCCGGTATGAACATATATATACATCACTCAAGAAAAATTGGTTTAACTACTAATACACTCTATGACAAAGAGAAACATCAGCTACACTCACCATTATTGTTCCAACATCGACAACTGCACCACGACGTGCAATTCCAGCCAGTGCAACTTTATCACATGAGACATTCTTTTTATTTATATATCCAACATCAAAAAAGAAATCATGATTGGGATCATCAAGTGTTGTATGAGATAATCCACTGGAGGCTGCACTACTCTTATGACTAGATACTCCACTCATTTTATTGAAGACACTGTGGTATACACGATATAGTGTCAAGTGTAGTAAAGGCACCAGTGGTAACTCATTCGGAGGGATATACAAATAATGCGAGTATTCCGTAATTCGTCAAGGTGTGATTTGTGATATGGGGAATTCATTTCTTTCATTTTTTAGCAAGTCTTAAATCCAAGTGTTTGTTTAAGAGTCATTATAAATCCTCAATGCTTTCTCGTCTGATTCATATTTACAACATATTTTAACAACTAAATCCCTCCCTGGTTGTGAGAATAATAAGCAAAGAAGAAAATTATTACAAAAAATCCTTGTGGTCATATTTCTTGTTTCATTTAGATTTCCTAACTTCTTTTGATTGGCTGACAGCTGACCAATCAGAGTTAGTCACTTATATTGTTGGCAATAGTCATTGCAATAAACAATTGGGAAAATTAATATTTTTAAGAGTTAACCTGCACAGATTATATTTATTTTAAATGTGATCATGGACAGAAATCAGTGTGAGAACCATATTGAAAACTGGTAAGTACTTGACCCACTGGCAGTATGTACGCAACACAGAGTTCTAGCCTAGGAGCTTTCGCTTACAATTTTAAATGTAGGCCATTCAGCCATTGGGATGCAGCACAATGTCCATGAGTCACAATTTCTACCATTTGGCGATTTCAGTGCAACTGGCACCAGTCAGTGTCATTCGCAAGCATTTTTCATCACTGGTCATAACTTTTCATACCAAATGCAGGCAACTCCGTCCTGTCGCTAGTCACTGGTGGTCATTAGATGAGTTTTCAAGAGTTAGTCTGTATGTACTTGATCTGTTTCATGTTTCATGTAGTCAGAAGTCGTGAACAGTGGTTACGAGTGAGGATAAATACTCACCGATGATACTGGCTGGTGGTTGCTGCAAAATCACGAATTGGTAGAAGTTGGAATTCATGGGCTGGTCATTGATTTGGGTCCTAGCGACTAAATCGTCTACAAACTTTACTTTTAAGCCGCAGTTCCTGGGTTCTAACCCTGTGTTGACTGAGCGCAAACGATGAGTTGCAAACTAGGACGAAACAACTATCCAGTACTTCCTCGTTCGTAATGGTTATGCTTAGCAATCGAAGGTGTACAAACTTTGTGAATTGGGATGGCACTTTGTATTCCATCGTAAAAACTATATTTTTAACAGTCGTATACTCTTTATCCCCTAGTTGTGCCAATATATGCGGCTCGTGATTACGATTACTTTTCCTGACCAAACTGAATAATGCTGAAGAAGGAGAAATTGACCTTGCCAAGTCTGTATAATCAGGCGACTGTGTCCATAAGGGGATTTAAATTTATAAAAGCACAATGAACTATCCAGACTAGTTAGTTATCCTTCAGCCGCATACAACGCATGATGAATTAAGAATAAAGTATACTAAGTATTAGCTACAATTATTAGTAGGTTCGACGACAGTTATTCAGTAACAAAGACCAAGTCTTATATTCATACATTTATTTCCACTGATAACAGGAGTTTTTTCTATCTTTTCTCATTTGAAAGTCCTCAACAAATTTCCCCGAGTATTCATTCTCACATATTAGGTTCCCTGTTCTTACTTAATTTATAGTCCAGTCCACCGTTTGTTAACCATGTGTGGTTCCCTGATGTTTATTGACGTTACTTAAGACAGACCTGGAATAGAGTTTATAGTTTTCATCAGTAGAGAGTAATATTTAGCATAATTTAGTTTGATCTAAATGATCATATAAAACTAAAAGCCTATATAGAAAACTGAATTCTCGCACCAGCAAGTAAATACTCAACCACAACCTACTTAGCTCGTGTTCTGTGCGATAAAGAAAGCATTAGGCGTGATACCTATAACTTATTAAATAGTCAGTAGTACAACTGGACCCCGTCTTTCCAACCCATATCATTTATAGGTACAAGATTTTTTTTCTTTCTTTTCCTTTTCTCTCTCTCTTTTTTCTTTTATGTGCTGCTTTGTTTCCTTCTCTCGCTTACGCCAGTAAATACGATAGCACCTACTTTTCTAACACCTCCAAACACTGTTCAACTTTGGCTTTGCTACCGACATGCCAATATGTTGTTGTCATAATGAACTGAGACTACCCTTAATCTATGCAGAATTGTATTTATTGATAATGTACTAACTGGATGCAATACTGTAGTAAAAATGCTGAGAATTCCATTCTGTATCACAAGTACTGTTTTGGAATAAAGCAAATTATTATTATTATTGGTTAAGCAAAGGTTCAAATAAAGCTGCTATACGCAGCTCAATACAAACTCATCTTGTCGATGTGGACATGGACGTCAAGTCGACTCTAATAAAGCTTCCAAAGTTATTTGTCGTATATCACCCAATCTCTTGCACAGTCTACAACTACTAGTTTATGTATAGGAGAGACAACTGGACTTCATCGGAAAAAGCCAAATCTGTGTGTTCAGAAGTAATTTGTACAGACCATGTCGTGACCAACCTTGAGAAACTACATAATATGTATTGATTTGTTTTGGTATTTTTTAAAGCGATTTTTCTTCTCCCATTAAAAACATCTTTTGACTTTGTTATTTTACTGTTTTTACGATTCTAGCTAATTCTGTTAACTTGTTTGTACTTTACGTTTTTAACTTCTAGGTCATCCTATTCATCTTAGTCATGATTGCTGTTTATCCCGACCGATAGCTGCTACCTTGAAGCCAGGTGAAGACTCTAGCAGAGAACCGAACGCAATGGAGACGCACGGGTGAAGCCCTATGTTCCTCTAGGAATTAAAGGAAGCAATGATAATAATGACTCCTGTTTATATAAATTTCTTGATTATGTAATGACTAGTTGCTTTTTATTTATTTTTTTATGACTAGTTCCTAAAGGCAAACTATTAACTTATCTTGAATTCCTTAATTGAGCTTAATCCCTCCTTCGAAGCTTAGATACCTTGTTACTAGCATCTATCAGTTTATTGTTTTGATGACTTTTAACCCGTTAATTTCACCAACCTCAGCTTCACCCAAAAGTGATTAACTAAAATAACCAATTGGTGAGTTAAAGATCTTGCTGTAGAAATTATACATAAGAATAGAGCCAGCCGATGATGAGGAACTATTTGAACAGACATTTTGACTGAGTTTATTATTCCTTTCTTTGTAATGTCCTTATGGGTATTTTCCACGATTTGAAATAAATGTGACATTTATAGACAAGCCAGAAGTAATAAAAATCAACAGTTTTTTCTCTCTAAAACCAGAACATATTTTGCATGGCAACCGGGGAGGTCCATCCAGTCAAGTGTGAAGATGGATGTCGCGCCAGTGAAATTGGTTGTGGTCTCGCTAAATCACGAATTGGTAGAAGTTAGAATTCATGGGTTGACCATTGAATTGGGTGTCAGTGGGTGAATGGTATACGAGCTTGCCTTGTAACCGGTAGGTCCTGAGTTCGAACCCCTAAAGTAGGTGCGTACTGTCGATGATTCCTAAACTAGGATGAAATAGCTGGCTATCCAGTAATCCCTAGTTTTCTGTGATTTTCTAACTGATATCAATCCGTGATCAACTAGTAGAAAGAAACCAAGCCTGAATATTCTAATGTGGATGCAACTGACAAAATTCCAGAAAGTCTAAGAAATAAAAAGTCTGAATTCAATCAAAACTCGTCCTAAAAATTGAGTTATTGTTCAGATATCATGACGACCAACTATATAATGACCGTAAGTAGTTCGATAGTTCGTCTCTGACCGCAGCACTGGACGACGCGGGTCCGAATTTTAGAAGAGACATGAGTTCCTCCAAGGTTGCAGATACGCCTCGCTGACTGCTGAGTGCCTACTATTACGAGACCAAGATCAGGTAAGGCTTCCTGCCAATTGACTCAAGCCATCGAATATCATGAAATCACTATGCACCCTTGATGATTAGCTACCTAGAATAGTGGTCACATTGAAAACCTGCCTGATGGAATTCAGTCTGCACCAAGCAAAGGACTAGACACATCACACTAGTTACTAGTGTCCATTCAAAATAACTGTCAAATTAAACAGAAGTCATTAGGCGACAGATACTTTCTAAACTTTATCTGCATTTTGTAAAGCCATACAACTTTCTCTACTTATATAAAGCTAGGCAGTAATAGAATTATGGGTAAAATTAATTTTGATAAAGTCTCACAATGTTGTACAGTTACATTTACTGATGACCGCCTTTCGAGCACAATATATTGCTCATAATCATATCAAGGTACTCACACAACTTTCTGACTTCGTTTATATAATTCCATTACTATATAAGTAATCTAGAAAAAAGCTCAGCATTCACACTGCACGCATTAACACACAACCACACACAGGGTTGTAGAGGGTTGAAATTCTTAGAAGCTAATATATGTACTTGGAGAGAGAGGTTGATTACTGAATCCTGGTTGATCGAATGTACACCAAACATGTGCAATAGGAATGACTCATCACTCATACCGGAAATATGGAAAATACTACTACCAATCAAATCAAGCAATGGAAAGTAATGGAACCATATAAATGAAGTTAGAAAGCTGTGTGAGTCACTTGATATGATTGTGAGCAGTAATAAATTGTGCTTGGAACATGGTCATCAATAAATATTACTGTAAAGCACCACTGTGAGACTTTATCAAAATAAATTTTATACATAATGGAATTATACTCTACCAGAGCACTTGTACAATAGTAATGGCATACAAGTGTTTCTACGCGTTACTGAATCTTTTTCTGGCAATATTGAAACAATTAATAATTGACTAGATGAGCTCAGAGTCAGCTAATCGTTTGTTTAATCAATCTGCTAATAAGGTCAACAGTTTTAGAAGTCTATAGAACAGTTCCAGTGGAAAAATAATATCCCAGTGATTTAATAAACTTGTTAATTGGAGAACATGAAGCCATACGCATAAAACACCATTAGTGGTAGATCATACTTCCGTATTTATTAGAAATCCTGGAGATTGAGGAGAACTTCCTGAGCACATAAA